ATACAGAACATTTATTTGTATGTAGTTCCAATAGCTTATTTTTGCTTTTGTTTCTCTTGCCTCAGGAGACATATCTAGAAGAATGTTCTTGGAGCCAGTGTCAGAGGAATTACTGCCTGTGCTCTCTTCTAGGATTTTAGGGTATCAGGTCTCATATTTATTTTTTGAGCTTATTTTTGTGTATGGTGTAAGAAAGAGGTCCAGTTTCATTCCCCATTTTGTTTCTTTATGCTATTCTTTAATCTTATTTTTTTATAAATATTTATTTTAGAGAAAGGGAGTATGAACAGGAGGGGCAGAGGGAGAGGGAGAGAGAATCTCAAGCAGACTCCAAGCTGATCACAGTGTCCCACATGGGGCTTGGTCTCAGGACCCTGAGATCATGACTTGAATGGAAACAAGAGTGGAAACAATGAACCAACTACACCATCCTGGCACCTTGAGAAAATATTTTTTTAGCTTTTGAGAAAAGTCACAGTATTAATTCATCAAAACAGAACAATAACAAATAAGTTTTTAAAAATTGATCTAGAATTTCAGTGTTTGAGAAAACATGATCCCAGGGTCCTGGGATCTAGCCCTGTGTCAGGCTCCCTGCTCAGTGAGGAGTCTTCTCTTCCTGTTGCTTGCTCTCTCTCTCTCTCATATAAATAAAATCTTTAAGAGAGAGAAAAAGATTTAATTGAGAGAGGAAATAGGTAGAGGATTCTGGTGCAGACTTTTCTGGAAGTGCATTTGAGGGCTTCTGATATTAAGTCTGATACTGATTTTTTAATTTTCATTTATAACATTAAAAAAAATTTTTTTTAAGATTTTATTTATTTATTTGACAGACAGAGATCTCAAGTAGGCAGAGAGGCAGGCAAAGAGAGAGGAGGAAGCAGGCTCCCTGCTAAGCAGAGAGCCCGATGTGGGGCTCGATCCCAGGACCCTAAAGATCATGACCTGAGCCGAAGGCAGAGGCTTTAACCCACTGAGCCACCCAGGTGCCCCTAACATTTTAAAATTTTTGATAATGATTTTTTTTTTTTAAACATTTTATTTATTTGACAGAGAGAGAGATCACAAGTAGGCAGAGGCAGGCAGAGAGAGAGGAGGAAGCAGGCTCCCTGCCGAGCAGAGGATCATGACCTGAGCCGAAGGCAGAGGCTTTAACCCACTGAGCCACCCAGGTGCCCCTAACATTTTAAAATTTTTGATAATGATTTTTTTTTTTTAAACATTTTATTTATTTGACAGAGAGAGAGATCACAAGTAGGCAGAGGCAGGCAGAGAGAGAGGAGGAAGCAGGCTCCCTGCCGAGCAGAGAGCCTGATGCGGGGCTCGATCCCAGGACTCTGGGATCATGACCTGAGCCGAAGGCAGAGGCTTTAACCCACTGAGCCACCCAGGCACCCCTTGATAATGATTTTTAAGTTTCATCTAATTTTATGTCATTTTGTGGTTTGAATAAATTTAAATTTGTATTTATTAATTTATAGCATGCCACTAGCATTTATATTCACCACTATTCATATCCTTCAAAAAGTTCTCAGACAACTTTGAGGGATTTTTTTGGTGTCGTAGATGAGCATAATTGAGAGGTAAAAGAGGAAAAGCTGAGGAGCAGAACATGCATCCTGTTTCCTGGGTGTGGGGCCCTGGGCTACCCACAGGAGGTGGTGCTTTGGCTGAAACACTTCTTTCTGATTACCACCAGGTGTCGCCACTGACCCAGGGTGACGAGACCTCTGCCTAGAATCAGAAGGTTTTGAGAGCCCATCTTCTGTTGGGGGTGGTGACATTGAGGGGTTTGCAGATGTGTGGGTAGGGGGATACTTGTGTATTCTTCCCCCTCTAGTCTAGAGATTTTGGTAAATTGAATGTTTATAAGGCAGGGAATGAAGTACATGAATTTAAATTTTTATTATCTTTATAATTTTTATTGTTTTTATTTTCTATACCTGTTACTGCTTCAGAAACAGGTAACATTTTTCTAGCATCCTTTTTGTATTCTTGCATCTTGCTTTTATTATGCTTTTGTTTCTTGCATAGAGGATAATGGAAAATTAATATACTCTCACATGGCATTGGAAAAATCTGCATGCAGATTCCCACAATTGTAATTAGATTATGGCCAGTTGATTTCTCGAACTTTGCAGAAACTTGGCTACAAACTGTATTATTTAATACCAGCATTGTTTTTTAAAAAATCCAAATGTGGAATTTTCAGAATTTACAGCATTAGATATTGGTAACAGTGTAGAATGAAATATCCAGGTCTTGCTTCCTTCTAGCTAATAATAAAACACAGGGTTGACGGGAAATATAGTATTTGTGGCCAGGGTTTCCCTTAGCATCCTGACTGTATAGCCTCATTTTTGTGCTCACTCTCTACCTCCGCTCATTTCTTTTTTTTTTCCCCACATCTTTCTCTAAACTCTTCACTCATCTTTAAAAAGAGACTTTTTTTGGAGGAGGTCTTAAAATCGAGGAATATCATTCTTAATTAAGGGAAACACACCTTTTGTCTTTTCTCTCCCCCCAATTATTGCCTCAAAAGAAAACTATCATGCTAAGTAACAACATGTGAGTAGTTAATTCCTTTTACAATATTGATACTGTAAACAAATTTATGATAAAAATGTAGTAATGAAAAAAATAGGTTACTTAATAATGTCCTGTTAAATTTGAGAGACAGGGCCGGGGGTTGTGGGGATAGGGAAGGGAAAAATGACACAAGATGGGATCGGGAGGGAGACAAACCATATAAGAGACTCTTAATCTCACAAAACAAACTGAGCGTTGCTGAGGGGTGGAGGGGAGGGATAGGGTGGCTGGGTGATGGACATTGGGGAGGGTATGTGCTGTGGTGAGGGCTGTGAAATGTGTAAGCCTGATGGTTCACAGACCTGTACCTCTGGGACAAATAAAATAATGTCCTGTTAATATAGCCTAAATTGTGATCAGCAGGGTAAAACTTGGCTCAGTTAACTGTTAAATGCTTGTTTTTTCCACACTGACTTCGATTCAGGGATCCCTTTTGATTTTATTTAGAATAATACTGATAAAAATATATTTATCAATTTGAGGACAACTTGGTTCAGCCCATCTTTCCTAAATATTTTGACACACACATGCACTCACGTGTACATACACACGCTTAAGTGAGAAAAAGGCAATTTATTTCATTGTGTAAAAATACCTCTTGCTGCTTTGAGCTTTAATTCTTAGATAAAGAGAATCATCTTTAGTGCTGGGATTCCATGTAAGTAAATATTCACTGAAGTAGATGCTTTTCCAAGAACTTATGTGATTACAACATAGGATCAGCAGTATAATAGTAATATTATTGCTTTTTCTTAGAAGATGACATGACTGGTTGGGAATTTTCCTGTAGTCTAGTTTTCTGGAGAAAATAGGGAATTTCAGCATCCTAATGTAAGTTATTATTGATGTTTTCTTGAAGCATTTCATGTTCTTAAAAATAAACATGGCAGAACTAATTTTTACCAAGAATTTGTCCAATTACAAGGTGGTAGAGAGTATTGCTTAACTTAGGTGAATGTCACAAAAAGCCCAAGTTTCTAGGGCCATTAGTGGCTTCCAGCTGAATGTGGCATTATGAAGACAACACCAGTCTATTAGAAGCTCTTAGAGAGCTTTACCAAAGTACAGTAACCTTTCAGTGGATGCTCCATCCTACTTTAAGCTGAGGCCTGCTGTTCTGGGGGATTCTCCTTGGTACGCTCTTAGCTTTTATAATTGCTAGCAGCAGAAGCCATGCTGTTGGTAGAGCTAGTGGCTAAGCCCACAGGTGCAGTTATGCTTTTATTTCTTGGTTTGCATGTACACGCCCATCTACCCCTACTTTAGGATGAGAGGAGGCAAGAGCTAGTTAGGTTTGTAGTGCCAAGCTGGCTTAAATTTGCTGGCTCGAATTTTTTATTTTGGTTATCACCTTGCCCACTAGGGAGCCAGTGACTGTTACAGAAGTCGTACCAAATAAAAAATCCCTCTGGAATTGTCTCTATTAAAAGAGCCACAGTTTTTGATTTCTTCCCTTCCTCCTACTCCTTGGTGGCCGCTAATAGTATGGTGAGGGCACAATGACTGGGAACTAGTATCCTTTGACAGAGCCAGATCAGCGAAAGTATTATTCCCTGGCCCTGTGCTTGGTGATACCTTATGGGCCCAGCCATTTAAATGCAAGCCTGTATCTCTAAAGCATTTTCTAATACTGTCGTTAGCCAAGTAGACCTTTACTTACCTGGTCCTAACACCCAACTAGAGAAAAATTTTCTTTGTTGGATAGCAGCTATGAGATATTTCCTGTCAGCTAAACATAGTGCTGCTCTCACAAGATACTGCTTCTCGGTAACATTAGAGAGGAAGAGAGGACACAATGATTATAAATAAGTGTTGGTGGGAAGTCCAGGTAGATAGGCCTGCCTCCTGAACCTTTTGGAGACAGGTGACACTGTAGCACCTGAACTGTGTAACAAAGTAGCTATAGGGAAAAATGGGTTTTCTGAAGGATTTGCTCATTTAGAATGGCTTCCGTTACTAACGGCAAGATTATGTTAGGATACTGACCCCTGCACACAGACATGGCTTTGGAAAGTTAAAATATCTGCACATGTTTAGATATAGGAGCTCTGAGCTTTTATTTAATTAATGGATCTGTTAAACCAAAAACATCCTATTTTAGATGGGTTGATAGTTTCTGGGTCACTTCTGAAATACAAAGTAATTATTTTTAATATAATTTAATGACTTGTGTGAATACATTAAAACATTTCATGTGGCTTAAAATTATATGGGAAGAACATACCTTACTCAAAGTGTTCTGAAGATTATTGTATTAAGGCATTATACATCTGAAAGCATACCATTAGTGAACGTTATACCTTCTATATCATAATTATTTTTAGCATATCTCTGTTGATAATTTATGTGTGTATATTAGAGTCACCCATTGTCTGGCTATATGATCTTTCAGCTAAGTCCATCCTTTGCAGATGCTTTTACTGACTCTGCTATCAGTGCTAAAGTGAATGGTGAACACAAAGAGAAGGACCTGGAGCCCTGGGATGCAGGTGAACTCACAACCACAGAGGAACTGGAGGCTTTGGAAAATGATGTAGTAAGTAAAGTGTTTTTGCTTAGTATCAGACTGTGGTCATGTGATGTGGCGTGATATCATTTGGTTTTAATTTAAGTATGTTGTCATCATTTCGGTGGATATATTTAAATCAGCATTTTTTATTGTCTATATAGAGACCTCCCCCCAGGCAGTAAATTTAGACAAATCTTTCTTTGGGATGCTTATGAATGATTTCCATGTTTTTAAATAGATCATAATAAGCAACTTACAAATTTAAGTTGGGAAACATGGGAAAATGGAAAAACTGGCATGTTTTGCTTTGAATCCTTTACAGAATGAGGCAGCCTAAGGAAATTAGTGTTTTAATTGTCTCTTTACCTTTCCTAGAGGTAAGACTCTTGGGCTTCTTATCTGAGGAAGACATACTCACTATTAAGATACATTGTTAAGTTGCATTAGAAATAAAGCAATAAGTAGATTTCTTGGTCTTAAAATTAGGATCATTCTCCACAAAAATTATTTTTTTTTAAGATTTTATTTATTTAACAGAGATCATAAGTAGGCAGATAGGCAGGCAGAGAGAGAGGGAAAGCAGGCTCCTTGCTGAGCAGAGCCCCGGTGTAGAACTCTATCCCAGGACCCTGAGATCATGACCTGAGTTGAAGGCAGAGGCTCAACCCACTGAGCCATCCCGGTGCCCAAAAAATCTATTTCTTTTTCTTTCTTTCTTTTTTTTTTTTTTTTAAAGATTTTATTTATTTATTTGACAGAGAGATCACAAGTAGGCAGAGAGGCAGGCAGGGGTGGTGAAGCAGGTTCCCCGCTGAGCAGAGAGCCTGATGTGGGGCTCGATCCCGGGACCCCGAGACCATGACCTGAGCCGAAGGTAGCGGCTTAACTCACTGAGCCACCCAGGCACCCCAAATCTGCTATTTCTAAAAGCTTTTTAATGTGTATTATTTTTACTTTTCTGTTAACACATCATCTATAAATCAATGCTTAGTAGTAAAGACTATCATTAGGATTCTATAAATTATGTTTCTAAGGTAGAGAGATAGAAAGCAAAGTCTTTTGCCAAAAATGAATGTTTAGGTACCAAAATTTGAATCGGATGAAGATCTTCCATTGACTGTTGTGGAGAAGTCTTTATAACAAATCTGTTTTTAATGTTTAAGTCCAGCTTTGAAACTGAAAATATATAGGCAGAACATCATTATTCATTTTCAGACTTTAAAGAATTCGATATAACCTAATATAGAGGTTCTCAGGTCTATGCACCACATCACCTACGTAGGATACAAATCAGGTACTCCTTTTTTACTGATAGTAAGGTGGATAAACTGTTAAGTTGCCAGAGAGCATTCTGGCAATATTTATAAAAGTTTAAAACACACCTATAGTTTGTCTCACCTCTTAGAATTTACTTTTGTCTTGGTATATCCATAGGACTTGCAAATAATGATGTGTAAGGATTTTTTTGCAGCATTTTCTCTGATAGTGAAAAATTAGAAACATCCTGTCCATCAGGAGGACATGAGTTAGATTTATTGTACTTCCATTCAGTTGAAACACTGTGGTTCCACTAAAAAGAATGGCATTTTGGTACGGAAAGGTACTTAAGACTTATTAAAAGACAAAGCAAGTTATAGAATAAGAATATCCTATTTGAATTAAAAAAGAACTTGATCTAACTGATCATGTTCTTAATGAATGCATAGAGTGCATCTGGAATTATGCCCAAGAAGTTAGTAGTGGTTAACTGTTGTGGATAGATTTTGCTGTTATAGATGATATTATTAATGTGAGATATTGATTGTACTTGAATTAAAGCAATTTCCATGACAAATACTTTGTCATTTTGAAAAATACTTTATTTTCTTCTAGTCTAATGGATGGGATCCCAATGATATGTTTCGATATAATGAAGAAAATTATGGTGTAGTGTCTACATATGATAGCAGTTTATCTTCATATACGTAAGTTTAAAAACCTGGCTTTTACTTTAGTACATTTGTCTTTGACTTTCATCAACTTATATTAGGATGTTGAATAAATTTTTCTGTTGGATTTTTTTTTTTAATGTACTTTTTTTAAGAGAGGGGGAGAGGGACGGGGCCAGAGGAAGAGGGAGAGAGCGAATCTTAAGCGGGTTCCATACCCAGTGCAGAGTGTGACATGGTGCTTGATCTCACAACCTTCAGATGATGATCTGAACTGAAATCAAGAGTTGGATGCTTAACCGACTGAGCCACTCAGGCGCCCCTCTGTCAGATTTTAAGTTAAACAATTATGTGAAAGAATTAATCCTGTTACTGCTTAAGCTGATAAATTCTCTTTAAAACAGGGCATAAATATAGTTTAGTTTACCTGTATTCTGGTTTTATGCTCTAGATAAATTTTGTTCTTGTTTTAAGTTATAAAAATTCTTAAGTTTGCAAGTGTAGATGTTATAGGAGAATAGTCAATTTAACCAGTTTTGGAAATTTATATTCTTCTAGGGAAGAGTGAAACAAAAAAAATTTCTAATTTTGCTTTACACATGAGTAGATCACTGTAAGTGTTTTATATTTTTATCAGTCTTTCAAACTCTAAACTCTCTTAATAGTTGATTAGGACAGATACATAAACTGTGCCTTCAAAATACTCACTTTGCTTCCCCCCCGTCTTGTTTCAGGGTACCCTTAGAAAGGGATAACTCAGAAGAATTTTTAAAACGAGAAGCAAGGGCAAACCAATTAGCAGAAGAAATTGAATCAAGTGCCCAGTACAAAGCCCGGGTGGCCCTGGAAAATGATGATAGGAGTGAAGAAGAAAAATACACAGCCGTTCAGAGAAATTCCAGTGAACGTGAGGGCCACAGCATAAACACTAGGTATTTAAAGGAAATCATGATGCAGTATTTTGGATACACAACTCAAGGTCTGTGTGAGAAGGTGTATTATTATTATTTCATCTTCCTTTAATGTAGCTTAGATAGAGAATGCAAGGGGAATTGGTTTAAGATTCTTTTAGAGAAAAGATTATAGTAATATTAGAAAATATTTTTTGAGCATCAGCTCTTGAAGCCAGGCGTTGAAGCCAGTGATGAGCAAGCCAAGGTGTGGAGGAGCTACTTACAGAAAAGCAATCAGGTGGGGGGGATGCTGCACAGAACATAACAGCAGTTCACTAGGATTTGCTAGATTAGAGGTGTATTCAGAGTGAGAAAGAACTAGCATGTATCCAGTGGGATCAGAGAAAGCCTCACAGAAGAGGAGAAATTTTGTGATAGGATAGTAGCATTGTCTGCTGCCCATCGAGAAGTAAGAGAGAGGCATTCCTTGCATGATGAAACACATGTGAAAGAACCTGGCCAACCGAGGATGAGGCTGGTTGTTTCATATGTCTGGCATACAGGATGATGTGGAGGGTGCAGTGGTGGCAGCTGGTGATAGGAACTGAGGTCCTGAAGGGTTTGTGTCCTGTTAAAGAGCACCCTGTAGGCAGGGGATGGTGTGAATGAACTCTGGGACATTTGAGAATTGGCTGAAACATGGAGACCAGTTAGTGTATTGAAATTGTTCAAGTGTGAAAACTTGGTAACCATCGAGACCAGGGCTGGTGAGAGAAAGGTTAGAAAAACCATGGGTGAGCCTGAGGTTTATTTGATAACTAAGTTGATTGATAATTGTACTGGTAATGGAGATAGAAAACAGAGAGTAAATTTGAGGGGAGATAGAATGAGCCCTTTGTTAAATTTATTGCATTTGAGCGGCTTGCAGATCTTTGATTAATTTATTTGTAAACGTGTTGAGAAACATGTACTACATACCTGGTGGAATAAGATACAGATTCTTGAAGACGCAGCTTAGAGTGATGGTTTGAATGAAAGTGTTCAGTGGGAGATGTTGAGACTGTGGGACTGGCAGTGTGGATTTAGGACTTGTCAGCATTGCTGATATTGAATGAAAAAACCAATGAATAGCTATAAAAAGAAGAGTTCCAAGAGAAAACAAAGCAGAGAAGGCCAAGGACAAAGAAAGTTTTAAGAAGATGGACCATAGTTGATAGACTCAGCCATTGAGAGGTGAAGTAGGATGAGAATGAACACAAATCTGTTAAACTTTTTGCTTAGGAGGAGAATCTGAGAGAAAGGAAAGGCCAGAGGCTAGACTTCAGGGTAACATGGAAGAATTAGGGGTGTTAGGGAGGGAGATATTTTGGTTTAGTGTTTAACCTTTTTATAACAAGCATTCACTTCTGCCTAAATTATTTTTAGATTTGTTTCATTGGCCTGATATCTGTTAGGATAAAATAATTTAGAGAATCTCTCATTTTCAGGGAAAATAAATATATTCCTCCTGGACAAAGAAATAGAGAAGTCATATCCTGGGGAAGTGGGAGACAGAATTCACCGTGTATGGGCCAGCCTGGATCGGGCTCCATGCCATCAAGATCCACCTCTCACACTTCAGATTTCAACCCGAATTCTGGTTCAGACCAAAGAGTAGTTAATGGAGGCAAGTATTTTGACCAAATTTCTCAATGTCCTCAATCAAATATACAGTTTTCTGAATATTTAAGTTTAACATAATTGGTAAAAGCATGCACATCTTCAGTGATTTCTGTGGAGGAGTTTTTACTTCAAAACTATTTAAAATTTGCCTTTATGGATATCAAATTAGTAAAATTAGTATAAATCATTGGCATATATAGTATTTAGTGTGGTGAAATACTCAAGTGTTAAGATAAAGTGCTAAATTTAACCAAAAATAATTCACTTGGCCAAAAAACACTCCACATACAAAGAAATTGGAAACTTTGGGTAGGTTCTCAATTTAAAAACCCTGTATGGTAAAATTACTTGAACGTAGTTTATATGGAAAATCCTAGTTTGTGTGAAACGCTCAGTAGTTAACACAGATTAAATTCATTAACTGTTTGCACGTTTATACTCTGCTTATTTCAAGAAACGATTTGAGGTAATTTGCTATACAAGACATGACCAAGAGTCATGTGAAGAAGAAAGAAAAGTGCTTAAAAAACAATAAAAAACGACTGGTTTTTGCAATTTGTCATAAGTACAGTGAAAGAGACTTGCATCTTCAGGAGGAAGATATTTTTCTGCTCTACCTCTGAATCTAAGATTGAATATAGCTCATAGGTCATGGCTCTTTTGTGTGAGTCAGGGATGCTGGATGGTAGTGCTATAGGCAGTACGGAAATACCGTAGCAGAACTATGTTCATAACCTAGGGAACAAAGTGGACATTGAGTTTAAGATATTTAGGTTCAGAAAGTTAGAAAAGTGGAGAACACTTAAGTTTCCAATTTCAGTTGTTTCTGTTGAGTCTCCAGAATTCCTCTCCAAATAAACACTCTTGAGTATTTTCTGTACTTAGTATTGGGGGTGAAATTTCTTTGCTCTCTGAGTAAAGAATTTTAGTTCATGAACAGAATTTTCAAGTAAAAAACCTGAAGGGGGCTAGGAAATGTGTGATACTCAAGTGTGTGGAACCCAATGGAGAGGAGACCTGGACTGTTTTCCTAAGATTAAGGTAAGTGATATGTAATGTGACACATTAGCTGTATCTTGACCTGTGCATACCCGTCAGTGTCAGCTTATGTGGTGGTGACTGCTTTCTAGTTGCATTGCTTATTAAGCAGTCACTTAAGCAAGTGTTTAACTGCATAAATTAGCAGGTCTCCCCTCTTTTTCTAATTTGATAAGATTAAAATGATTTTTGAAAAGGCAATGAATAGTAACCTTTTTTACTCTTAAGACGCTAAAAAACAGAAGTAATGTTATATTTCTACTAAATGGGCTTGCTTAATGAAATTTCAAACTAAATTTTACCTTCAAATACAAATTAGATGAAAATCACAAATGGTTATTTAAAAACCAGCATTTTTAATGGGATATAATAGCTCCTGCTTATTTTCCTGTTTCAAAAGCTAAAATTAGTAAGTAATCTTATTCCTGAGTTTTGTCATTTATTGTGTGAAATTATCTAGTTTATGTTAATACTCCTTTTAATAATTGATTATTGAGAAACAGTTACAGAAGCAGGATTAATAGGCAAAGTCTTAACTGTCTTCTCCAATAGTATGTGTAGATCCTAATTAACCCTTTGGGAACGTATGTTCATTTAAACAGACTTAATTTTAAGGAGGTTAAAGTAAAATGTGAATTTATGTCAGTTAAGTTATGCTAAAACTTATCACAAATCAAATGACTGTCCTCAAAGGGTTAAAATGTACAAGAAATCATTTTTGTCATTTTACTTTTTTTTCTGTTTACTTTTTTCCCTCATTTTTTTCTTTAGTTTTTATACTTTCCTTCATATCATTTGTTCTGTCAGGTGTTCCCTGGCCATCGCCTTGCCCATCTCCTTCCTCTCGCCCACCTTCTCGCTACCAGTCAGGTCCCAACTCTCTTCCACCTCGGGCAGCCACCCCTACACGGCCGCCCTCCAGGCCCCCCTCGCGGCCATCCAGACCCCCGTCTCACCCCTCTGCTCATGGTTCTCCAGCTCCTGTCTCTACTATGCCTAAACGCATGTCTTCAGAAGGTACAATACCACAATTTGTTCATGTTTTTGTTTGTCTTTGTTTAACTCCTATGTGAGTTTATAATTACAAAATAGTTTCCTCTTCATTATTTAGTAACCTATAATTTCCGTGTTTTAACTTTAGTTTATTAAAACTATTTCTATTAACCTTTTGTTCATTGGAGAGAAATTTGATAAATGCTGTGTGAAGCTATGAACTATCCTGGATTATAAGAATGGGGGTTTATCTCTGCCTGGTAAAAATGATGTTCCTTTACAGCCCAGAAGGTCTGCTCCAGGTTTTTGTCCCTCTCAATATACAGTATAAACAGTGGTTAATGATAAACAATGAACTTTCTTCACCAGTTTTGGAATTACTGTAGAACCTTCATTTTATAGCTCCTTGGCCAATGTACACGTGAACCTACCTGTTGGCCATAGGCAGTAATGGTGATTTAGGGGTCCTTTTTGAAAGGGACATTCCATGTAGCTGCCTTTGTGTGTCTGCTCTTAGATTATATACAGAGATTGGTTTTATGTTTGGGGAATTTAAGAAAATTAGCTTTGTAATATTTTCTAGTGAAAGTCTAATCTGGCAGTCTTTGATCTAAAATAAAACATTGTTATTAAAAACCATTTGTCTTTGTAAAGAAAAAAAATCCTGTAATTCTCATGCAGTGTTTGATGCTAAGTCTACCATTACTACATATCAAATCATGGAGGTATTGTAGACAAATGACACTTTAATATAAATGCAGTGCATATGTTAAAAACCTATTTTCTGAATATGTATTTTTGATATTATTTCAGGGTATATATGTTTACATTTTAGTCCCGATTCATTCATTAAAATTGTAGTTGATAGAACTTACGCTGAGACTAATACAGTTTTCTGGCATAAAGTGCTTCCCTGGAGAAAACCCACGTTGGCTGCTTTTTAATAAATTGTTACCATCCAGGCAGGAGGGAGGTCATGTGATCGTGACTAAAGTGGCTGACCTTGAACAGCATGTTGCACTGATTTTCAAGGCGACTTCCTTGCTAGAAAGTGCTTGTGATGGTGGCCACTAAGTGAAAAGTCAAAATCTGTTGTGGTATTTGTTGTGGTGCATTGTTTGAGTAAAGCAGGACTCAGTGAGTATGAACGTCTTCACTATAGTAAATTGTACACTGCTTGTAAGAGGGACTGTTCACGTAGAAAATAGACCTTCTGGGTATTCAGAGCCGCTACATTATCCAATTTTTCTTTTTAACTCATTTGAATTAAAATGTTTTCCAGTCCTGTAGTTAGGTGAACTTCAAATGTAGAACTATGAAATTCAGTGGTTTTCTGTGTTTAATATGGGAGAGTATTTTGTATTTTATGTATTTACCAAAAGAATGAAATTTTTTTTAAGTTAGAGTTTGATTTCATTGAGCTATGCCAACCAGCTTTCTTACTCTTTTTCTCTAAGTGGGTATAAAAAGTTTATGATATGTATATACCTAATTCTTTAATTTTTTTAATATAAATCACCTCTCCAGTTGAAAACTATAATATATAACATTAACATTTCTTTTTAAGATTGTGTCCATGATTAAATTCCTACTGAGGGTACAAATTTGACGTTCTTAAGATTTTGGCAGGAAGGTAAGGGTGAGGACCCTTGGCTATGACGTTAAGGATGAGTTTTGCTGAGTGTTAGCACTGTCTGGCTTTTCTACTGAGAGCCATTCTGTCTACTGATTTCACTTGATTGATTGTTCGAATGCAGAGTAGACTTCTTTAGAAATAGAAGTCACTAATGGGGTGACAGAATTAATGATCTAGAATTTTTGATGATTCATGTAGTGCACATTTCTTCTCCAGATGCCAGTTATTTTAGTCTTTCAGGTCATGCCTTAACAGTAGAATTTTTAGCTTATAGCCTGTTCAGCCTGAGAAACTGCTTACAGGTGAAGACTGTTTTAAGGCACAGGTTGTAAAATTTATTGCCATATTTCAATAATATAAAAGTATATAGGGATTAATAGTCTATTTCAGAATCTTTTTCTAATTTTAGAAATAATAAAAGTTTGAGGGGGAAAAGCTAAAAGTATGTGGTAAAATAAGACTGATCCTATCATGTAACCGTAACTTCTGTTAACATTTTATAATATATTTATTTTTATATGCCCACAAGTAATGAACGTAGATTAAACAAATGAATAAAAATTTTTGAAGAGTTACAACATCTGTTTGATTTCCTGACACCAACTTCATCCCTCCCTTTCTTTAAAAAAACAGGGAAATAATATAAAATTTATTTATAAAACCTTGTGGCATTCCACAGAGTAATTCTGAAGGAATATGGCCAAAAATACGTTTTTCTGTTTTTGTTTTTTGTTTTATAACCAAGGAGAAGCTAGAGAGAGTGTGCGTGTGTATGTGTGAATAGGGTCTGTGTATTTAGCAGAAAAGTTGTACTGATGGACGTTGTAGCATTTATGTGATGTTCACTATTCCTTTCTTAGGGCCTCCAAGGATGTCCCCAAAGGCCCAGCGACACCCTCGAAATCACAGAGTTTCTGCTGGGAGGGGTTCCATTTCCAGTGGACTAGAATTTGTATCCCATACCCCACCAAGTGAAGCAGCTGCTCCTCCAGCAGCAAGAACTAGTCCTGCAGGGGGCACATGGTCATCAGTGGTCAGCGGGGGTAGGTAACACTTGGCTTGGAGCATAATGACAGTGGACATTTTGTAACTCTGCTGCATGTAAGAAGGGCTGAGTTCAGTGTATATATTAAAATAATTGGAATAACCAGGAATTGGGAAACCTACATTTTTATTCTGGTTTCCACCACATATTCACCATATATTAAAGCAAACCATGTGATCGTTCTGAATTTCAGTTTTCTCAGTGAATTAGAGTAATTTTTGCCTGTTCTACTTTATGGACTTGTGATAAGATTCAAATGAGGTTCATAAGTTCAGGAATATACTTCATAGTTCCATAGAGTACCACCCAAATATAAAACAAATACAGTATGTAACATCATATGAACAAACTGTATTTCCTGTCTTCTTAGCAATTTTGTCTGTGGATTCATTCCACAGACACTTCCTTTGGGCTTACAGTGCTGTGTATTCCTGTAGCATCTGTATATGGTACTAATTCTTGATTTTATTTCCCTAATAAGGAATATCAGTACATGATGGGCCCAAGTTTTATCTGTGATTAGCCTGAGGAATGTGCTGACAGCAGCTATACAAGTATAAAAGATACGTAAAAAGACTAACTATAAGCTCAGTCCAAAACTGCTTTTGCTACTTAATGTTTTGTTTCCATGATAACTGTGGAGAGTTAGAACATGCAGTGATTGTGATTTTTTAGTCATAGTCTGTCTTAATCAGCAGATAGGATTTTTAAAAGAAAAGATCTTCAGGCTTAAACAAAAACATTCCTAACTCTCTAAACTTAGTTGATACACATTGCTCAGCATCGTGTATGCATAATTTTATGGTCAGTTACTTCGTATATTCTGTTTTCTTCTTTGGTCTTCAAGGAAGACCAAAAGAAGTTAGGTATTAGAAATTAGATATTTTATTAACATAATCTAATTAGAAATTAGGTATTAATTATTAGGAAATAATTCACTTAACAAGAAAATAGAATTTCTAAAAATCTTTATTTCTTCAGTTGTACCATTCATCATTTGACATTGCTTGGAGAATTTGGAAGTGAATTTTGAGAGTTAACAGCGTAATAATAGAAGTAAAACAATAACTGTTATTAGGAATACATGCAGGGTGATGTTACAGTTGTTTTTTTATACTAATTAGAAAAATGGGGGCGCCTGGGTGGCTCAGTCGGTTAAGCCGCTGCCTTCAGCTCAGGTCATGATCTCAGGGTTCTGGGATCGAGCCCCGCATCGGGCTCTCTGCTCAGCGGGGAGCCTGCTTCCTCCTCTCTCTCTGCCTGCCTCTCTGCTGCTTGTGATCTCTGTCTGTCAAATAAATAAATAAAATTTAAAAAAAAAAAAAAAAGAAAGAAAAATGACAGTTGTTGGATAGTTTCCTTCCATGATCCTATGACTTAAAAAAGTAAAGAACCACTAAATTGTAATTGGAACCATTTTCTTTAAACCATTAAATCTGAGTTCTACAAATGGGTTTTTAACGGATTAAGAAACCTATCAGTTGTTTATTTGAGGTCAGGTGGAACAGGAACCCTGGTGAATTATCTTCTGCTTTTGGCTAAATTGGTTCCCCGATTTTCTTAGTTCTTGTAAAGTGCCTCTTGAGGTGGCTGGAAAGAGCAGACAGGATTGGCTGCAAGCTGCCGGAAGGTGTTTGAGTTTATTATTTGAAGGAGAAACAAATAAGCCTTTTTCTTTGGGATCTGCCACCCCACTGTTAAAGAAACATCTCAGTTCTTAGTGGAGAATGTTGCTGTCTTCATCTTTAAAAATGGGGTTTATCCTGTCTTCAAATCCAATTTCTAATTTCATTTAAAGTACTGCCTTTTGGAATTAATCTGATCTATTTAGTTACAAGGAAGAACTGCAGCTGTACTTAGGTATTAGTAATTGCTGTCATTCTTCAGCTCTTTGTGTTTTCAGTCACCACCACTGTGGGTGATGGGATAAAGAGTAATAGGGATGGTGGTTGACAAGGAGTATTTTACCTAGATTTTCTAAGAAGCCTCTTTGAAGAAGTGACATTTGAGCTAAGAATGTAATGGATAAATTTTCTCTTTCTTGTAGTTCCAAGATTATCCCCTAAAACTCACAGACCCAGGTCTCCCAGACAGAACAGTATTGGAAATACTCCTGGTGGGCCAGTTCTTGCTTCTCCTCAAGCTGGTATTATTCCAGCCGAAGCTGTTGCTATGCCCGTTCCAGCCGCGTCTCCTACGCCTGCCAGTCCTGCATCCAACAGAGCTGTCACCCCGTCTATTGAGGGTATGTAAGAAAGGGCTTCCGGCTCCATGTCATTTGTGAAGTTGAGTGTTAAAAGTTTTATGTTAATATGAAAAATGCTGTATTTATTCATAGGTATGTATTTGAGTGTAAATTTAAAATTTTGTGTAAATGAAGTTTAATACAGTTTCATATATATTATTCTTGAATGTCTATTGTTACAAGGGTTAACATTCTTAGGTAGTGAATATCAATATAAATAAAGTTGTTTGTGTTTCATTTGTCTGCCAAGGGAAAAGCTGCTAGTTAAATGGAAAATTTTTTTTCCACAAACCGTAGGAAATAAAAATTGTTGAATATTTTCCCATTTTACTTTACTATTATTTTTTTAAATACATATTTTTTTAGCTAAGGATTCCAGGCTTCAAGATCAGAGGCAAAATTCTCCTGCAGGGAATAAAGAAAATGTGAAGCCCAATGAGACATCACCTAGCTTCTCAAAGACTGAAAATAAAGGTTAGAGCTTTAAAAAGTCTTTCAGTATAATTATAGAAATAGGAAGGAGATGTCTAAGCTCATGCCTAGTACAGATTGGTTTTGGTCAACACTTCTTCTTAGGATTGTGCACATTTTAAATGCATAATTTGACAGATGTCAAAATCTGTAAATAATATATTGAATAAAAGCTTATTTTTATTTCCAGTATCTCATCCTAAAGAATTTTAAATTAAAGATTTGCAGTGAATTTATATTTAACAGTTTGTAATTTTATAGGTATATCACCAATTGTTTCTGAACATAGAAAGCAGATTGATGACTTAAAGAAGTTTAAGAATGATTTTAGGGTAAGTGTTATTGATTAATGAATTAGAACTTTAAAAATGAATAGTAAACATGATTACAAATTTTTAGATCCTTTACAAAATGCATTATATACATACTCAGAAAAAATGAATCATGTCTGTTAGAAAGCTAAACGTTCTTAAAGTTGTCTTTGTGCTTTAAAATTATTTATTTTATTTACTTACTTTTAGAGAGAGAGCGACCTTGCGGGTGGGAGGAGGAATAAAAGGAGAGGGGGAAGAGAGAATCTTGAGCAGACTCTAGCTGAGCGCAGAGCCTGACACAGGGCTTCGTCTCATGACCCTGAGATAATGACCTGAGCCGAATCAAGAGTCAGTTACTTAACGGACTGAGCCACCAAGGTGTTCTGCTTGTGCTTTTGAGTAGATAACTAAATCAACAGCTTCTGAGAACTATACAGATACCAAATGAAAGAGAATATAATTTTGACATTTAAAGTCAGTCATAACCTAAGTTATTATTTGATGCCCATTTGATTACTTTATTCAGTGAAGAGTAGAGCAAAGCCAGGGTATTGATTATCTGGTAGGGCTAGTGGGAAATGTAATGGACCCTGGTGTTCTGGATAGTTGCAGATGTACACTTTGTACACAAATGTATTGTGGTAGAAATTGGTCTTTAATACCAGTTCTCTGTCTTAAGACTCCGAACATACTCCCATCTCTTTTGGATGAACACTGCATTCTTTTGCACACGTTTACTATAATACACTTTGTATAACAAGTCATTTTGGGACCAATGCAAGAAGTTATCCTGAAACTTAACTTCATAGAGGAAAAGATCTGATGATCAGCCTTTGGAAAATATGGCTGACTTAAGAGATGAATCAGTCAAAGGGCAGCTTTTTCATAGTCTGTGTTAGCTTCCTAAAAATTAATGATTTTTTGGTGATAGCTTCATATTTATTGGCACCATTCAAAATATTACATACCACATTTTTTCACAATTTATCTATTCAGCTTTTTTTTTTTTTTTTTTTAAAGATTTTATTTATTTATTTGACAGAGAGAAATCACAAGCAGGCAGAGAGGCAGGCAGAGAGAGAGGAGGAAGCAGGCTCCCCGCTGAGCAGAAAGCCCGATGCGGGGCTTGAACCCAGGACCTGGGATCGTGACCTGAGCCGAAGCCAGCGGCTTAACCCACTGAGCCACCCAGGCGCCCCTCTATTCAGCTTTAATGCTGTTAGTGTGTCGCGGCTGGTGCGACAAATCGACCAGGGTAGAGAGAGTAAGAGGATGCTGAAAAGAAATTAAGAGACAAAGAGATGGGGGCAGGAGGAGCACCAAGGAGGATGTCCAGTAGTGCCGGTTTTATTCAAGGCTGTGAGGCATTTTATAACTAACAGAAACAATCATAAGAAAGGTGTCTATTTTTAGCTGATTACTAAAGAGTTTGCAACAAGCACAGAAAATTCTTCAAGCTTTCCCATTATCTATTTCCTAAACATCAATAGCAGATCTTCTAGCGCCAGATGTACTGACTTCAAGGCCACTCAAGACATAGTTTGTGTAAGCACAGCACAGTCTTACAGTGGTGTAGTCTATAGCCCGTGCAAGGACAGCAGGGACCAGCCAAGAATTTCTGACTCCGGCCAAATCGTCTCTGTCTGACTAGCAAACGTGTGGGAAGTCACGTAGGCGAGCACACAACACATAGCACAGACCCTTTCTCAGTGCTACTCGACTTTATTGACCTAAGCCTTTTGTTCGGCTATTCAGCCTTTAAAGGCGGCACAAATCAGGGCCTGGTTTGGTTCTCGTCTCAAGCCTTACCGTGGCCTCCCACATTAGTGATTATGAATTTAAATTTTAATTTTTTAAGCCATAGCTAATCCATGGACATGATACGGAGAATTACAACGGAATGCCCAGATAGCCAGTTTAATATGTCATGCACTCCCAACACAATTAAAGCTCTTTTATGTACTTGGTCTCCTCAGCTGCATGCTCCGGCCAGAGGGAGGGTTTCGTTTCTGTGCAGTTCTTTACATTGCATCTGAATAGATTCCTAAGGAGTAGATGATACTATTTTGCATAGTCTTCCATTTGATGTAAAGGAGCTCATTATAGGTATTGCCTATTCCCTTCTATTTTCTCACGTTACTTTTTAGAGTCAAGCATTCAGTCCTTTCTTATGTTGAATTTATCATGTTATGAAGGAAAGAAAATTTTTACTTTGAAGCATATGAGTTAGTGGTATCAGTCTTACTGAGATAAAATTTACGTGTCATACATTTTAACATACAAAGTGTACAATTCAGTGGCTTTTCGTATATTCACAGATTTATACGACCATTACCACAGTCAGTTTTAGAACATTCTCTTCACCCCCAGAAGAAACCCCATACCCCTTAGCAGTCATTCCTCTTTTGCTTTTAAACATCTCTCCCATACCCCTTTCCTTAGGTCCTAGAGAGTCTGCTTGCTTTCTCTATACAGTTGCCTATTCTGGACATTTCATATGAATGGAATCTCATGATATGAGGTCTTTTGAGTCTGGCTTCTTTACTTAGCATAATATTTTCAAAGGTCATCCCTGTTGGAGCATCTGTCATTGCTTTTTTTTTTTTTTTTTTAAGATTTATTAGAGCGCACGAGAGCGTGCTAGCAGGGGGAGGGGCAGAGGGAGAGGGAGAGAGAATCTCAAGCAATCTGTCTGCTGAGCAGGAAACCCAACATAGGGCTTGATCCCACAACCCTGAAATCAGGACCTGAGCTGAAACCAAGAATTGGTCACCTAACCAACTACACCACCCAGACACCCCAGTACTTCATTGCTTTTTAATAATACTCCATTGAATAGACCACATTTTATTTATCCATCATTTAATGTCTTTTTGACTTTTTCCCATATGTTGACTGTTACGAATAATGCTGCTATGAATATTAGTATAGTTTTTGTTGTGGACATATATATTCATTTCTTTTGGGTGTATATACATAAGAGTAGAATTTCTGGGTCCTATGGTAACTCTGTCTTAAACCTTTTGAGGAAAATTTCCAGACTGTTTGCCAGAACAACTGGAGTATTGTGGTTTCCATCACCAGCATATAAGGATTTCTGTTTCTCCACATCCTTGCCAGCATTTGTTACTATCTCTTTTATTGTAGTCGTCCTTGTGGTATCTCATTGTGGTTTTGATTTGCATTTCTCTATTGGCTAACAATGTTGAGCATCTTTTTATGTGTTCATTGGCCACTTATAAATCTTTTTAAGAGAAATGTCTATTCAGATCCTTTGCCCATTCTAAAATCCGAGTTGTCTTATTATTGAGTTCTTTATTCTGTGTACAAGTCTCACATGAGATACATGGTTTGCAATTTTTTTTCTACTTTTATGTCAGTTGTCTTTTCACTTTCTAGATGTTGACCCTTAACCAAAAATTTTTGATTTTACTGAAGTCCACTTTATCTTTTTTTTTTTTTTGTTACTTGTGCTTTTGGTGTCATATCTCAGAAACCATTGCTTAATCCATAGTCATAAAGATTTACTCTTATTTTTTTCTTCTAAGAGTCTAATTTAGGGCTGTGATCCATTTTGAGTAATTGTTATATATAGTGTGAGGTAGGCTTCCAGATTTCCTCTTGTGCTTGTTGCTCTTACATGTCCCAGCACCTTCTCTTTAAAAGACACTGTATTGGAGGTGCCTCCTGGGTGCCTGAGTTGGTTGGTTGTCAGGTTCTTAGTTTCAGTTTGGGTCATGATCTCGGGGGTCATAGGATCAGTCACGCCCCATGTTGGGGGTGTGTGGAGTCTGCTTGGGATTCTCTCTCTGCCCATCCCCCTGCTTGTGCTTGCTTTCTCTCTCTCTTTAAAACAAACAAAATCTTAAAGAAAAGATACTGAATTGAATAATCTTTGCACTCTTATGGAAACTCCATTACTGGACTTTGAATTGTCTTCCATACATCTCTCTGTATGTCTTCAATTACGTCAGCAACACACTGTCTCAGAATTAGTGTTTTTGTTTTGTTTTGTTCTGTTTAAGGTGGGGGGGGGAGAGGGAGGGAGAGAGAGTCTTAAGTAGGTTCTGTGCACAGTGCTCCATCTCACAACACAGGGCTCCATCTCACAACCCTGAAATCAAGAGTCGGGCACTTAACCAACTGAGCCACCCAGGCACCAATAGAGTTAGTGTGGTTTTTTTTTTTTTTTTTAGATTTTTTTTTTTTTTTTTTGACAGACAGAGATCACAAGCAGGCAGAGAGGCAGGCAGAGACTGCCGAGCAGAGAGCCCGATGTGGGGCTCGATCCCAGGACCCTGAGATCATGACCTGAGCTGAAGGTAGAGGCTTAACCCACTGAGCCACCCAGGCGCCCCTAGAGTTAGTGTATTTTTAATGAGCTTGTAACTTCATTTAATAGAAAACATTTTGTTTCTCATATTATCAGTTCACAATTTTCTGTAAATCTTCTTTAATGCTTGACTCTTAAAGTCCAGGTGGTTGTAGGATTAGAATGCTACCTCTTTAGGAATTCTAATCTATTACTATTGGGAGCCTGAATAATTTAATGTAACATTAAGTCTCATATAAGTAACTTTTTCGTCCATAAAGGAGTTCTGAAAAGCAAGGAGATGGTATTAAAAAATGTTTGAGGGTGAACTTTATACTTCAGTTAGGGTAAAATAACATTAGTAGTTTACACATTGAATATTGCCTCTGTATCCTGTGCTGTCTTAAGTGCTTATGTGATCAATCTTTTATTGTCCTATCATCCCTTTGAAGCAGCCTCTGTTATTATTTCCAGTGTGTATATTAGGAAACTGAGGTAAAGACAAATTAAATAATTTGCCAAGAATGACATGGTTAGTAAAAGATAGGCCCAGCCATTTGTGCATTTAAGTTTCTAGTAGTGCTTTGGATAGTACCTAACGCATAGGCTGTACTGCTGCTATTCAGTGAGTGAATTATCAGAGCTGTCCTCATAGCATACACATGGCCTCAAACTATGGTGATTCACGGAAATCTCTAGTCTTTCATTGAGACAGAGGTAAGAGTACTCTGTGGTTTTCTTTTTTCTTTTCGTTTTACTTGACAGCCATCTGCGGGATCTAATATAGCTATGTGCATGATGCTGATAGCTTTATTTATATAAGAATTGCTAGTAATTTGATCTGTACAGATTAACAGTATGGGGTTTGGAGGTAAGTAGACTGTCTGATTTGAATCATCCCTTCACAAATAGCCTATGTGAAACACAGAAGTATGTTATCTACTTCTACCAAGCTGAAACGGGATTATTATAGAACCAATTTCATTGTTCTCATGAGAATTAAATGAGATACTAATGTGAAGTGTTTAATATAGTACATGACACATCCAGTATGTATTCAGTGAATATTAATTCTTATTAGAAAAAAAAAAAAAAACAGTGTTTTACTGGCAATCAATTGTCTTGTTTGTTAAATCACATAAGAATTTCAGCTTTCCCATTAAATGTCCATACTACCCAAAGCAACCTAGAGATTCAGTGCAGTCTCTGTCAAAATTGCAATGGCATTTTTCACAGAAAATGAACCAATAATCCTAAAAATTGTGTTACCGTAGTACATTTCAGACAGCCAAAGCAGTCTTGAGAAAGAAGAGGAAAGCTGGAGGCATCATGCTCCCTGATTTCAAACTATATATAAAGCTGCAGTAATAAAAGTATGTTCTTGGCATAAAAACAGATGCACAGGTCAGTTACACAAAAATAGCCCAGAACTAAAGCTATGCACATATGGTTAATTAATTTACGATAAAGGAGCCAAAAATATAGAATGGGAAGGGGAGAGACACCTGGGTGGCTCAGTTGATTAAGCATCTGACTGTTGATTTCGACTCAGGTTATGATCTCGGGGTCCTGGGATTGAGCCACATGTTGGGCTCCATACTCAGCAGGGAGTCTGCTTCTCCCGCTGCTCCTCTCCCTGCTCTCTCTCTCAAATAAATAAAATCTTTAAAAAAAAAAAAAAAAAAAAGGCATGAGGAAGGGCCAGTATCATCACTAAATGGTGTTGGGAAAACTGGACAACCACATTTAAAAGAATAAAACTAGGGCATCTGGGTGGCTCAGTTGGTTGAGCATCTGATTCTTGATTCCAGCTCAGGTCATGATCTCAGGGTCAGGAGATTGAGCCCTGCATCAGCTCCTCGCTCAACGCAGTCTGCTTGGGATTCTCTCTCTATCCCTCCGCTCCTTCCCCTGCTCACATGTGCGTGGTCTCTCTCCTTCTCTCTCAAATAAATAAGTAAAATTTAAAAAAGAATGAAACTGGACTGTCTTACACTCTACATAAAAATTAACTCAAAATGGATTAAAGACTTGAACAAAAACTCCTAGAAGGAAACCTAGGCAGTAAGTTCCTTGATGTTGGCAGTGATTTTTTTTATTTGACATCAAAAGCAGAAGTAACAAGAGCTAAAATAATGCACAGCGAAGGAAACCAAAATGAAAAGGAACCTACTGCATGCTGGAAATATTTGCAAATCACATAACTGACAAGGATTTAATATCCAACATACAGAACTCCTATAACTGAGTAGTGCGTTACCCCCCCCCAAAAAAACTGATCTAAAAATGGTAGAGGATGTAAACAAACACTTTTCCAAGAAGACATACAGATGACCAATAAGTCCACGAACAGGTGCTTACCACATCAATCAAATGCAAATCAAACCACAATGAGATATCACCCACACCTTTGGAATGGCTGTTAAAAAAAAATTAAGAAAATAACAAATGTTGGCGAAGATGTACACTTTTGGTAGAAACATAAATTGCTGTAGGTGCTAAGGAAAACAGTGTAGAGGTTCCTCAAAAATAAAAAAATTAAAAATAGAACTACCACATGATTTAGCAGTTCCATTTCTGGGTATTTATACAAAGGGAATGAAAATACCATCTAAGAAATATAGCTGGATCCCCATGTTCATTGCATCATTATTTACAGTAGCCAAGACATGAAAGCAACCTAGGTGTCCTTTGATGGGTGAATGGATAAAGAAAATGGGGTGTGTATATATATGTATATACAAATACATATACATACTTATGTATATGTAATATAGATACACACGGGAATATTGAGGCATAAAAAGGAGATCCTGTCATTTGTGACAACGTGGATGGACTTTGTGGTCATCATGCTAAGTAAAATAAACCAAAGACAAATTGCATAATCTCGCTTATGTGTGAGATCTTAAAAAAAGAAATAGCTCTTCAGGTACAGATTGGTTATCATAGGCAGGGGACAGTGAAATGTGTGAATGGAGTCAAAAGATAAAAACTTCGGGCGCCTGGGTGGCTCAGTCAGTTGGGCAACTGCCTTCGGCTCAGGTCATGGTCCCGGAGTCCCGGGATTGAGTCCCACATCCGGCTCCCAGCTCTGCGGAGAGCCTGCTTCTCCCTCTGACCTTCTCCCCTCTCATGCTCTCACTCTGTCTCAAATAAATAAAAAAATAAAATCTTAAAAAAATAAAATCTTAAAAAAAAAAAAAGATAAAAACTTCTATTTATAAAATAAGTCATGGGGGTGTAATGTTCAGCATGGTGAACTCTAGTCAGTCATACTGTACTGTAATATTTGAAACTTCCTAAAAGAATTGATCTTAAAAGTTGTCAAAAGAAAAATTTGTAACTGCAGTTGTGGCTGTTAACTAGACATTGATTATTTTGCAGCATATACATATATTGAATGATTGTGGTGTATGCCTGAAACCAATACATTTATACATTATGTTTCATTGGAAAAAAGTGGTTCAGTTTCAGGGGAAGAAAAAAAATCTCAGTTTTCACTTAGGCTTCCTTAGTGTAATGCAGTTGGAAATACAGCTGAATGCTGAAAAGCATGAATTGTGCCTTAGTTAATCCATTTATGAGGTGGTGATAAGTGTCTACATCACATAGGTCTGTTGTAGCAATTAAGTGAATGAGTTTGTAAATCATTTAGAACAGTGTCCACACCATAGTGAGTACCTTTATGTTTTCCATTATATGAATAACATAAAAAAAAGTCTCATTTTTGTCTTACTCAAAGACGTCTATAAATACTCAAGAGATCTCTGCAGTATGCAGTAGGTCTGTTAATGTAGGTAGCTTCTACTAAAGATTACCTGAACAAACACTGGCTTAAACATTAAATGCCTGTTTGTAACTTAAGTTGCCACTGGGTTCAAATAAATGATCCTATCATCACCTTTTGGCATGAGCTGCTGTGGATTCTGTGACTGCATTGGTGATGTGGTGAAGCTTGAGATGCTCCCAAGATGCCAGCCTGCCAAGGGCCTGAGGAGTGAGACTTTGACATTTGTTTGCCCATCCTGAGGCTGGGGAGAGACTTTTTTTTTTTCTGTCCAGCCCGTGCAGTCCCTTCTTGATGCCTGGGGCTGCTGCTGTATTCACATTGCCATTTCGGCTGCTTCTACTTGGTGTCTTTTTCCTTCTCTTTTTCTTGTCATTTCCTTCAGCTGCTTCTCTTCTCTTTCTAGAGGAGTATGGCATCTTAAATCAATCATCTTCAGACGGTAGTAGCATTGATTTCTTCTAGCCTGTAAACTTAAAAACCCCAGCACCTATGCCACTAGCATCTTTGCCTCCTACTCATCTTGGTACTTGTGTTTTGCACTTTCCTTCTTCAGTAAGGTTAGAAGATCTAATTGACCAACCTTCTGTCCCTCTGAATCCACCTGCTTCTGACTTGCCAACCCACCACTTCTGCAGTCCCGGCCCAGGTCCTAGTCCACTAGTGCTTTTCTGTTTCTCCCTTTTCCTTGGGTTTTTAAGCATGTTGTTTCTTCAGCTTAGATAATTCCATTTTCCAGGCTGCTCCCATCCTCAAACTTTTATACCTTAGACTAGATGGCGCTTCCACTGAGAAACCTTTTTCTAGAAATTGCTTTTCTTTTAGGATCCCATAGCATTTACCACATTTTTGTTAGGTATCTGATCTCACCCAGCTAATAAGCTTTGTGAGGATAGGAACTATTTCGTATTTTCCACACCCAGAGGGTACAATTTCTGACACATGGTGGGCAGTTAGTAGATATTTAACTTTTGAGGTTAGGATATTTGAGTGCCTAGATGACTATGGATGTGTTGTATATATGTTCTGTTATTATTGCTTTATAGTAAGTACATTACTCTTAAAATGTAAAAAGCCTTATTTGGTATATCTCATGCTTATAAATAGTATTAGTTTGCTTATACTCATGGAGAAAATTGATTATAGAGTTATTTAAAATACTTAAATATAATTGTTTCCTTTATTTAGTTACAGCCAAGTTCTACTTCTGAATCTATGGATCAACTAATAAACAAAAATAGAGAGGGAGAAAAATCAAGAGATTTGATCAAAGACAAAATTGAACCAAATGCTAAGGATTCTTTCATTGAAAATAGCAGCAGCAATTGCACCAGTAGCAGCAGCAAACCGAACAGTCCCAGCATTTCCCCTTCAATCCTCAGTAACACGGAGCACAAGAGGGGACCTGAGGTCACATCCCAAGGGGTTCAAACTTCCAGTCCAGGATGTAAACAAGAGAAGGATGATAAAGAGGAGAAGAAAGATGCAGCTGAGTGAGTAAACTTTGAATTGAGCACATCCTGTTACTTACTTTTTCTTAGAGTGTGCAGGGGCTTTCAGCTCAGGAATCTGTCTAGACTTTTGGACCACTTCTGCGCACCCCCCCCAGGTTACAGACAGCTGTAAACAGATGATTTCTTATGTAAATTAAGTCTTTGTACTCTGTACTCGGTTTCCTTCCTTCCCCAGTTTTGTTCCCCATGGCCAGAATCTAGACTAAATTAAGAACTTTTTTCTGTAAATGTGCGGGGAGTGTTGGGAAGTATATCCCCGAGCGCTGGTCATGCCCCTCCTAGCCCTGCCGCTGGAACCGAGAGCTGCTGCTGCCAAGAAGGGAAAAGTATCTGGTGCTCCGCTCGGAATTCAGCACGGTTTCTGCTAGAAGACGTTTCATTAGTTGTTAGATTTCCTAAGATAAACTTAATCCTCCACATTTGATAGGTCATCAACTGAACAGATCTTTGTGGGCTAGCTTCAACCTAACCACTGTTAATGTATCTGTTCTGGGTTCCACACAATCCATTTACAGCCGAATGTTTGGAATGCAGCCTGTTGATCTGTCAGAGAGTGCTTGTTCTTAATGCGAGGCAAAAATTTTTATTTCCCACTAGCGGTATGTAGGTGGTTTGTAGGAAGACACTTGGTTGCATTAGAAAATACTGCATGCTGGGGGCACCAGCTGGTTCAGTCTGCAGAGCATGCGACTTGATCTCAGTGTGTGGGTTCCACCCCATGTTGGGTGTAGAGTACTTAAAAGTAAAATCTTAAAAAAAAAAAAAAAAAAAAAAAAAAAGAGAAGGAAAGAAAATACTGCATTCTAGAGAATTGGTATATTAGGGATTGCCTTTAGTGGTATTTTATCTTCTCAGTTGATTTGTTGATTGCCTTTGAGAGAAGAATTATGTATTAACACTTTTTAAAGGATTTATTTATTTATTTGTTGTACACATGCATATGCATGGTTCGGGGATGGGGAGAGGGCAAGAAAGAATCCTCAAGCAGACTCCCACTGAGTGCAGACCTCGAGGTGGGGGCTTGATCCCAGGACCCTGAGATCATGACCTGAGCCGAAATCAAGAATCGGATGCTTAAATAACTGAGCCACCCAGGTGCCCCCACTTTTTAAAAAAATTAAATACATGTATGCATTTTAATGAAGAGAATTCGTGATCTAGTAAGAATTGTTTAATGTATGTTTAGCAATTTTTTAAAAAAGTGTAGAAGACTTGAGAGAAACACAAGTTCCATGCAAATTTTATTGGCCCCTTTTAATTTTCCCCTGGTTTAGGCAAGTGAGAAAATCAACTTTGAATCCTAACGCAAAAGAGTTCAACCCTCGTTCCTTTTCTCAGGTAAGTTTATTTCTCTCTTTGAAGTAATCATTGTCTCTAAAAAAATTAATTTATTATTGGTAATAGTATTTTTCACATACCTGCCATCTATACTCACTTACAGGATGTTGAAACAACTTGTAGTTTAAGTTCCTTTTTCTTATATGGTCACTCATGAATATTTTTGAGTCACTGAAAAGATTTCTTGTTTTATTTTGTTATCAGTTAAATATGATCTGGGGTAAGTCTTTGACTCTGACTGGCTGGCAAGATAGGCTCTCAGGTTTATAGATAAACTATTTTTATTCTACTGAATTTATAAAACACTTAGTAAATTTTAAAAATACTTTCTTTAGTTCATTAAAAATCACACCTGTTTTTAAAGTATTATTGAGAAGTTGGCAGATTATTATAATAAATTAATTGGCAAATTTAACTTTCTACCCAAGTGTTTTTCCTTTTGAAATGTGGAAATTTATTTTCTAAAACTTTTTTTCATTAAAAGGCACTAAAAGCAAGTAGAGCTTAGAAAGATGAGAAAGATCAGTTTTCAGATTTGAAATAACAGTTAGCCTTTCACCTTAAGATGGTTGATTTTTATTTTTGTAGCCAAAGCCTTCTACCACCCCAACTTCACCTCGTCCTCAAGCACAGCCCAGCCCATCCATGGTGGGCCACCAACAGCCAGCTCCAGTTTACACGCAGCCTGTTTGTTTTGCACCAAATATGATGTATCCAGTCCCAGTGAGCCCAGGCGTGCAAGTAAGTCCTAGATTTTGATGTTCGTTTTCCCTCCTTAGTTATTTGTATTCACACCAAGCACTCTGTCAGTGTGTGGTGACTTAAGGCAATAGTGGCAAAGCAGAAGTACTTGCAAGGGGGAGGCATGCGATGGCATGGTGTGTTGTTAGTATAAAAACCTAAATCTGAGAATGTTTTCTGGTGAGAAAGAAAGTTCAGGTTTACTGCAGTTTGGGGTTTGTCCTTTTAGGTGTTGGGGGTGATTTTATTTTTTTAATAACTCTTGGAGAATCAGGAAACCTCAGAGCTAGCTCTCTAGCAATATACAACTAAGAGAAAATAGTAAAATATATTCTTACTATCTGAAAAGTTTAATCTTTTTTTTTTTAATTCCCTCAAGCCTTTATACCCTATACCTATGACGCCCATGCCAGTGAATCAAGCCAAGACATATAGAGCAGGTAAAGGTGAGAATAATCCTGCCTGTGTTTGCTTGTAGTCAGCATGCTGCATGAATTCGGGATCTAATTTATAATGAATGAATATTTGTAGTTGAGCTTTCATTTTTGGTCAGCCTGTGCATTGATTTGTGATACCCAATACTAGGTAAGGTATTTGATGTGCTTTTTTCCCCCCCAAGATTGATTTATTAGAGAGGGAGAGAGAAACTCAAGCACACTTCTCACTGAGAGCAGAGCCGATCTCACAACCTTGAGACCATAACCTGAGCCAAAACTAAGAGTTGGATGCTCAACAAACAGCACCACCCATGTGCCCCTCAGATGCATTTTAATAAACAAGACTGGGGAGGAGAAAATGTTCATCAGTTGTGATTGTTTAAGATCCTTTTCAGAAAGAATAATTGAATTTTGAAGTTTTCATTACTAAATTTGAAAAGTGTTTGCTAAATTAGTTTACCAGGTTGTTGACCTTTTGTTTCATAATAACATACAACCCCCCCTTCCCCAATCCGGAATTTCTTTTTGAGCTGAGGGCAGCTCATTTCGGAAACCATCAAAATCTTCTTAGTAGAGGGATGTTTCCTCATCTTCAAAATGAAAATGTTGTGGGGAGCCTGGGTGGCACAGTCGGTTAAGCATCCAACTCTTGGTTTTGGCTCAGGTTGTGATCTCAGGGTTGTGAGATCGAGCCCTGCATTGGGCTCCCTGTAGAGTATGCTTGGGATTCTCTCTCCCTCTCCTTCTGCCCCTCCCCACCCTCAAATAAATAAATCTTTTAAAAAATAATAAAATGAGAATGTTGTGTAATCTAATATTCTAGACTTGTGGTTAAACAGCCTTTGTGGGGAAAAAAACACATACTGATCTTAAAAGGAGATCTTTTAATGTGGGCAAATGTTAAAGGGTGTCCTTTTTTGGCATCCAGGTAGTTGAGAGCTAGTTGATAAGTTACTCAATGCCTAGCAATATTCTCCTGACCTAAAACTTCCACTTCTTAAATTAATAAGCTTTCCTAAGTATTTGAAGTAATCATTTTTGGATGTTTTTTTAAAATTCTTACCTTTTTTTTTTTTTTTTTTTTTTTTTAAACAAGTATGGTATTCTTTGCCTTGGAACACTGGAACATGTTGAAAGAACTGTAGCTTAGATAATTTAAAGTTATCTAGTTTTAGGATTAATCTTATTCTGTGGATCTAAAAAAGTTCAGGTGGAGGAAAGGTTCTTCTAGTGCCATTTTGAGTGAGGTTAATATTAAGGTATGTTTTCCTCTCAAACCGTTGGTGGGAATGCAGGCTGGTGGAGCCACTCTGGAAAACAGTATGGAGGTTCCTCAAAAAGTTGAAAGTAGAGCTGCCCTATGACCCAGCAATCACATTGCTATGTTTTACTGCAAAGATACAAATAAGGTGATGTGAAGGGGTACCCACACCCCAGTGTTTATGGCAGCAGTGTCCATAGTAGCCAAACTGCGGAAAGAGCCCAGATGTCCATCAGCAGATGAATGGATAAAGAAGATGTGGTATATATATACAATGGAATGTTACTCAGCCATCAAAAGAAAAATGAAAGGGCGCCTAGTTGGCTGAGTCGGTTAGGCGTCTGCCTTTGGCTTGGGTCATGGTCCTGGGGTCCTGGAATCAAGTCCCGCATCAGGCTCCCCGCTCAGTAGGGAGTCTGCTTCTTCCTCTGCCTCTCCCCGTGCTTGTGTTCTCCTTCTCTCAAATAAATAAAAAATTTTTTTAAAACCAGTGGGGGGACTGCCTAGGTGGTTCAGTCATTAAGTGTCTGCCTTTGGCTCAGGCCATGATTCCAGGGTCCTGGGATTGAGCCTGCATCGGGCCCCCTGCTCTGTGTGAAGCCTGCTTTCCCTCTCCCATCTCCCCTAATGTGTTCTTTCTCTCGCTGTGTCTCTCTCTCTCAAATAAATAAATGAAATCTTTTTTTTTTTTTTAAGATTTTATTTATTTATTTGTCAGAGAGAGAGAGATCACAAGTAGGCAGAGAGGCAGGCAGAGACAGAGGGAGAAGCAGTTTCCCTGCTGAGCAAGGAGCCCGATACGGGACTCGATCCCAGGACGCTGGGATCATGACCTGAGCCGAAGGCAGCCGCTTAACCAACTGAGCCACCCAGGCGTCCCAAATAAATGAAATCTTTAAAAAAAATATCTTGTGGGGCACCTGGGTGGCTCAGTGGGTTAAAGCCTCTGCCTTCGGCTCAGGTCATGATCTCAGGGTCCTGGGATCGAGCCCCGCATCGGGCTCTCTGCTCAGCGGGGAGCCTGCTTCCTCCTCTCTTTCTCTGCCTGCCTGTGATCTCTGACTGTTAAATAAATATATTTAAAAAAAAAATATCTTGTGAAATATCTTGCCATTTGCAGGTATGTGGATGGAACTAGAGAGCATTGTACTAAATGAGAGAAGTCAGAGAACAACAAATATCATATCTCACTTGTATGTAGAATTTAAGGAACAAAACAGAAGATCATAGGGGAAGAGAGGGAAAAAATAAGATGAAATCAGAGAGGTAGACAAACCATAAGAGACTCTTAATCACAGGAAACAAACTGAGGGTTGCTAGAGGGGAGGGGGTTGGAGGAATGGATCAACTGGGTGGTGGACCTTAAGGAGGGCACTGGGTATTGTATAAGACTGATGAATCACTGACCTCTGTCTCTGAAACCAATAACATATGTTAATTTAAATAACAATATTAAGGTTTTCATATATTACTACCTGGTTATGGGATATTTTAACGATTACTTAAAACAGTACAATGGTGTGTTGTTATGTTAAAACAAAAAAGACGATTGCAATGAAAGCAAACACTATAGTATGGCTCTGATGTGAGGGTGGCACTTTGACTTCAGGCAGCGTGTCATTTCCCAGAGAGAGAAGTTACATGCCCTGAGAGTCCCTCAGCCAGTGTTGTAGAGCCATTTCTAGGAAGGTGGAATGGGAACACTGCAAACAGCAGCTGTAAACACAGTCTGTGCTAAGAAGGTGGAAAATGACAACATAATTGCTTTGTCCATAGTTCAGATTTGGTGATTATCAAGATTTTGTCATATTTATTTGAAGAGTGCTTTGTTTCTTTGCTGCAGTATTTAAAGTAAATCCCAGACATCATGCCATTTTATTCCTATATACTTAGTGTGTATCCTTTTGAATATGGACATTTTTCTTAGCCAGAGTGCTAATTATCACACTTTATAAAAATAGTAATTCCAGGGCACCTGGGTGGCTCAGTTGGTTAGGTGGCTCCCTTTGGCTCAGGTCATGATCCCAGGGTCAAGTCCCCCATCGGACTGCCTGCTCATCGGAGAGCGTGCTTCTCCCTCTTCCTGCTGCTCTGTCTACTTGTGCTCTCTATCTCTCTAATAAATACATAAAATCTTTAAAAAAAAATTATAATTCCTTTTTATCTAATAATCACCACAATCACATTATCTTGGTATTTTTTTACAGCTGGTTTGTTTTGAATATGGATCAAAGTAATAAGATCCATACAATATATTTATTACATGTCTTTGTAATTCCTCTGCTGTTTTTTCCCTGCCGTTGTTTTGAGGCAGAAACCAGTTGTTACATAGGAATGTCCTGTATTCTAGATGGTCTGTTCACTTCTTGTGATGTCTCCGATTACATTAGGTTTAATTTAATTTTCTTGTGGCAGAGAGGTAAGAATATTTAACAGATGATTGTGAGATATTTTAAATTACTAGTTTTTTTAAAGGTTTTTATTTATTTATTTGACAGATAGAGATCATAAGTAGGCAGAGAGGCAGGCAGAGAGAGAGGAGGAAGCGGGCTCCCTGTCTAGCAGAGAGCCCGATGCGGGGCTCGATCCCAGGACCCTGGGATCATGACCTGAGCTGAAGGCAGAGGCTTAGCCCACTGAGCCACCCAGGCACCCCTGATTGTGAGATATTTAACAGAAGATGGTAAAGAAATCTTTAACAGATGATGTTGGATTGTTCAGGAGATGCTCATTATCTGGTCCTACTTTGATAATTGGTAAAATTAAGGGCTCAGGTGGTTATAGCCCAGTCCTCCCCTCCCCAGATGTAAAGTTTTCTGAAATTTGTTAGGGCTCTGGTTCTCAAATTTTAGTGTGTATCAGAATTTGTTAAAAACACAGATTGCTTGGCCCCAGCCCCAGAATTTCCAATTCAGTAGATTTGGGGTATAGCCTGAGAATTAAAATTTCTAGCACAGTTTATAAAACCAGCTCCCTAGTGATACTGAAGTTCCGTGATCATATTTTGAAAATCATTAGTTAGGAGTTTGAAAACAGTAATTTCTGAATTCCTAGCATTTCTATGTATTAGCTAGAATCATCCTGTAAGCGGCTGTTCTTTTCAACTAGGGTTGGATATGGTTATCCTCAAATAGTTGGTACAGGAAAGTAAGAATAAATGCTTAAATTTAAGGGCTTAAAATTGCCTTAAGTGCCAATTTTCAGTGAGGAGTTTTTGCCCTTGACACTTTTCAGTAGTGTCTAGTGAAATTGCTTTGTTTTGAAAGATGTGACTGTCCCCCCCCCTTCTTTTATTCTTATTTTTAAAAATATTATGAATGCATGGATTTTGTATACTTTTGTATGTTTCAGGTTTTTGCTGCTCCTATTGCCCCATCTTTTTTTTTTTTTTTTAAGATTTTATTTATTTATTTGATAGACAAAGATCACAAGTAGGCAGAGAGGCAGGCAGAGAGAGAAGAAGGGAAGCACGCTCCCTGCTGAGCAGAGAGCCCGATGCAGGGCTGGATCTCAGGACCCTGGGATCATGACCTGAGCCGAAGGCAGAGGCTTAACCCACTGAGCCACCCAGGCACCCCTGCCCCATCTTTTAATCAATGCCAGTCCCTTCAAGTTGGCTCCTGTCTTTTTAGTTCTATTCCTTTGTCTTTGTTTTTGTTGTTGTTTTTTAAGATTTAATTTGTTTATTTGAGAGAAAACACAGAAGAGCATGGAAGAGATGCAGAGGGAGAAGCAGACTCTTGCTGAG